AGTGAAAAAAGAAAAAATTGAGTGGCCGTAAGCACGAGGAACTCGAGACTTTCACCTGGACCAGTAAGCAGTGAGGAGGCAGCGGCTCTTTTTCTTAAAAAGCCAGTAGCATTCAGCAAGCTCTCTGCACCTGGTCCCAATCATTAGAACTGAGAAGATTTTAAAACCCAGAGAGCAATACCTTGAGGAAGATTGTGAATTTGGCCGAATGATTGCTATTTCTGATACCATTCTTGAGTTTTATTGATTCACCAGGATGATCGCTCGGTACAGCCAAATATGTTCGATCGAGCATCTTCATTTGATGTGACAAGTCTTCAAAATAAAAGCGTTTCGCTTTGATCATCATCTGTTCGGTATTTTAGCAAAGCACGTGAACAAATCCAACTGCAGGAAGTTTCATTTGAGCTGTCAAAATCCATGAATTATGAACACTTATTCACGGAAGAGAGAGACAACGATATTGTGAGCTGCGAAAAAACTGCGAAAAAAGTGATCAGTCATGGAAAAAATAATTCAGATTTGAACTTTCATAGAGATGCGTGAAATTAAGCAGCGATAGAGCAGCGATCCATGTGATAAATGTGTGTGTCGATTTCGAATCAACAAAGATTCAGTGAAATTCTCCGTATAATGCTAGGTACACTTTGATATGGTACTCGTTCACCGCTCTGATTGAGCCTCTAGATTTTGACCCAATGTTCGAAACTAGAATTCCATGAAGAAGGGACATTTCCCACTATAATACGAGTCAGCTCGGATTGGGAGAAGATGTCACAAAATGAAGAATGCACTGAGATTTGTGGTGTTTCCGGTGATAAGAGAGCGGGATAAGTTAGTGACAAGTTGAGGAATGCTTCAGAAATCTTAAAGACTTGTTCAAAAATTTCGATGCCTTATGGAATAAATGAATGTAGCATATGGACTGCATTGTGTTACATTTTATATTGTACTACAAAATTAATGAAGTAAATCAAATTTAATGTGCTGGTTTGAAGGCCAAAAGAAGAAAGAAAACCGAAGTTTTCGCCATCCATACTGAGGCATTTAGCGATCGTTTGCGCTGAAATGAAATCATCGCTGTTTTCTTCGTCATTCTCGTAATGACTCACTGCCACAATTGATTCCATTTTTCGTATAGCACTAGCCAAACCAGCCTAAATTTCATATCTTATTCATTTACGTAATTAAATTGAATATTCTTGT